AATGACGATGCAGCTGTAGAAGTTGCTGAGGATCCTAGGCGACATGCCAAACCTCCTCAACCTCCTCAGGAAGTACAGTACATAAAAAGTACATAAAATGTCTTTTATGTGATAAAAGAAGGATTTGTTTAATGTGTACACACTCCGCATCTCTCCACTCACACACCCCTGAGTGCTGTCTAAAGGAATTTTAGTTTTAGGTCTAACAGCAGATTTTATTATTTAGAAATCTGAACTACTTATTTGAGCAAAGGATTTCTCTCACAATGCTCATTGTCTTATCAGACAGATTAGCAAACTTCTCAAATCTAAATTCTAGATTTACAGATGTACACACTACTCAGTGTCAGGGCTAATGTCTAGTACAACATAGATTTATGTTTCATGAACAAATAATACTTATTTTTACCTTTGCAACTCTATATGCAGTCCTTTGGTGTGAGTCTTTAGTGAGTTGGTTTCTCATTTAAGAGGGGAGTGCTGCAGATGCTCTCTCAGTTTACAGGTAACAAAGTCATCTATTCTCCCATTTGAGCTTTTCTGCATCTGTACTTCTGTCTCCAGTGCAGTGGAGCATGGCACGGACATGCTGGAGATGGACTGTCATTTAACACGTGATGGACATGTGGTGGTGTCACATGATGAGAATCTGCTGAGGCAGACTGGTCACGATGTCACCGTCTCCTCACTCAACCTACAGGTGGGAGGACAGGTCCTGGGGGTTAGGACAAGGTTCACAAAGGTCATGTCAGTGTTCTTTTTGGCCCACTATGTTGGCAAGGATGGGGCTTGTTTTGCATGCAAAGATTTATTTGCTTTAAATGAATCTAAAATTGAAGCAAACATTTAAGAACTGACAACTTACAAGAAGCTAGCTAAAATCCACGTATCAGGCAGAATTTTTGTAGTTCCTGAGAAAACCTCTATCATTTTGATCCAGGTTCCCAAGATGCGCTGTACATATTTTTACTATAGTCACAGTAGTTTTATGTCTCTGTACATCTGCTTCTCATCTCTGTCAGGATTTGCCTTTGTATAAGGAGAAAATGGAGGTGACATTTTATGTAGGTGAGTTCTGTCATTTTCTAGTTCTTATTCATTAACTAAAGACTAAAGGTCACTGAATGTAGAAGTAGGTGTGTGTGTGTGTGTGTGTGTGTGTGTGAGACCTTAATTTTCACCCTTCCCATCCTTCAGGTCACTACAGCAGTGGTGCAGACAGGAAGTTTGTTCTACTGGAGGACGTGTTCAAGAGGTTCCCTAAGCTACCTGTCAGTATCGAGATCAAGGAGAACAATAGCCAGCTGATAGAAAAGGTACAGTACACCAGAAAAAAGTCAAATACAACTCTTATTAACAAAATCCAAAATGTAACAAGGTCAAGATAATACTGTAGGTAGCACTGCTTAAAATAAATAGATCAAAATTTGGTAAACAGTAAAACTAGTGTACTTAAAATGATCCCAATAATGAGTGATATGACCTTAGAGCTGACATTGCAGGTGACTGTGGGGTTTTTTTTGAAGTATGTTAGGAAAGAAATGAATCAGACCTGTTTGAGAGTTTCAGTGTTCATGTTTTGTGCAGGTTTTGTATGTGAGGGCCTTGGATAGGGGCAGGCTGTAAATGTCAGTCAGGCCATGACTAATATCAGCTTTATGAAACTGAAGATGCATAGTATTTAAAATAAACTGTTGCAGAGGTGTTTAGTAAACAGTGTGGGAATTCTATGGCTGTAGCTTTGTGGAACTTTGCGACTATCTGATTTGATTCAAGAATATCCCCGATGTTGAACTTAAATTTGTACCCACCATGTGTTTTGGCTTACATAAAAAGCTGTTGATTGTCTAGCCTCTTCTGAAAAAATAAATCCTGGCTGTGAGACATTTTTCTGTCTATATCTTGTTTCATATTTCCTGTGCTTGATTTGAACTGACTGGGTCCACTTTCATATCTCACCATTTCATCACCATTATATTTAATCTGGGACCCTCTCTTGTCTGTCTGTAGGTATCTGACCTGGTGAAACGCTACAACAGGGAGGAGATCACTCTCTGGGCCTCTGTGAACTCCTGCATCATGAAGGAATGTCACAGAATGGTACATTAACCACCTGGGGGAGACAAAGCTACCTTGACAGTATTATTCTACCAATTCACAGTAGAAATGTGGTGATTTGACGAGCTCCACCAGCTCAGTCTCTGTTTCATCATCACTCCTGACATTCATAAAAACTGTCTCTCTATCAGTGTGGTCACCCAGACTCTCTGTTTTTGTTTCTCGTAGAACGACTCCATGCCGTACAGTTTCACTGTGAACCGAGGTTTGCTGGTTCTGCTTCTCTTCTACACCGGCCTGCTGCCCTTTGTGCCACTGGGAGAGAGTATATTGCAGTTCTACCTGCCGAGCATCTACAACAGGTGTGGCTCCAGGAGTCACCGTCTGCGCATGTTGTGTTCAAAGTGTGCATGAGGACAGAGACAGTTAACCCTTACCTGTGCTTGGATGTTCCACCGTTTTCTATGCTGAATGTTTTGTCTGTGCTTTTTATCCTCTTAGATTCTGCTTCTCTTACCTTTAATGTAAGATATTTAATGTAAATGTGTCACAGTACAGACGTGATGCATCTACTATTTCTCTGTGTGTGCTGTAGGACATTCATTCCTGAGGATCCCATCCTGAGGAACAGACTGGTCATCTTTTTGTTAGAAAAGTGAGTGCACGTTTTAAGGCCAGTGCAGCCTTTCTTTCAGCTGTCCTGTTCTGTTTTTTTAATCTGAAGTGGTAAAGAGAGAAACACTGCCAAACATTTCTGAAAACAGAAAGCTACAAGTTTAAATGACTAAGAAAAAACATTAATAAGAACATTAAGTTATGTTTGTAGAATAATATTTCTATGTTGGATTAGAACATCTTTGAGGAGAACTAAGCTATTTGTGTTATTTTGTATTATTTTATATATTTATATATAAATACATTTTATATTTTACATTCCAGAGTGACTATGAGGAGGAGTCTTTTCAAACACCTTGCAGCCCGTGGAATTCAGGTATGAAGCCATCATCATTCATGTATAACACCTAAATGCAATGTTTTCAAAGTGCATTACAGCAGTGCACAGAAATGTAAATAGAATACACATTTATACATCATCAGAAGTGTGATTTTAACAGCTCAGAGTTGAATCAGAGATACCTATCCAGTTTTCACTCAGCTGTTGATGTGTACTATCCAAATCTGCAGCTGCCAGAAATGTAATCATTTCAAATTGGAATGCCATAAGGTGATAAAGCCTATGAGGACGTGTGGTCTCCAGGATCCCAAACAGGTCTTTAGGGTTGATTAATATCTGTAATTGCAGGTGCATCTGTTTGTTTGCAATGAAGATGAGGACATAAAGGCAGCATTTGATATAGGAGCCACAGGAGTGATGAGTGACTATCCATCTCGTCTGTCAAGCTACCTCTGCAGAAACAGAAGTCAGGATTGAACTTGCAATGCATCCAGACACGATAACTCAGAAATGGCATCTTTCTAATGAATGGTTGTAAAAGAGAAGTAAACACAAGAAGTGTCAGACCCATTGTCTTACCCATGACATGATTAATCAAGGAGTTGGTCTAACTATTTAACACCATACAGTGGGAACAAAGCTATTCGTTTAGTTCTTTATTCTCAAACCTTAATCACTGTTGATAGACCTGAGGTGTGATCTGGCATCTGTTTGTGTTTCTATAGCCACCGCCCAGTCTTTCTGACACAGCCCAAGTGATTTTTCCAGCAGCTAATCTAGTGTGAATATTTAACCAGCTGACCTGGTCGCCTGATATCCGATTTTCCATGATAAGTAAATGTGACTGTTTTGACTGTGTCTGATGTTATTTCCTGATATACTTTGATTGGTTTGAGTAAACACTGGACATAGGAATTAAATTAGCTACCACAATTCACTTGGGTCTGGAAATGAAAGTAAAGAAAAGGTACACTTACTGTTTTACCAAAACATCCATTTAATGTAGTATTTACTACAGTCTCACATCTACTACATTCGCACATGCAAGTCTAGGGTTTACATGTACAATAAACCTCACCTGTGTCCTAGTTTTCCCAGGCCAGGGTCAAAGTCCCTTGATAATAATCAACCAGTTGGTTGGTGAAACAGCAGCTGTATTTTCTGAGCTGGTTGGGTGTGCAGTGCTACAAGTGACTTCACAGAATATAAGTGGATCAGTGCAGACAAAGACCTTTAATACAGTAGGTGCAAAGGTTTGAATACATAGCCCAGCAGAGAAACTTAGGCTGCTGTGATTACATAACAAGAATATAAACAGAGAGGGCATGTCATCATGAATTTCAAGGAATGAGACTAAGTGCTTTAAAAACAGTGTTTGGTTTTTTATTTTTGTTTTGTTTTGTTTTTTTGGTAGAAGCATCATCCAGTAGAATTACAGCATGGTGAACGGACTTCGGTTGAGCAGAATTGATTAGTCAGTTGACAGAAGATTCATTTGATTTTGATTTGATTTGATTTGATTTATTCTTTCAAACATGTAACGACAGTCAATATGTCAACACACATAATTTCACACAAATCCACAAATGCAATATCAATTTGCTTATACCTAGTACATGCTTGAATGGAGTAGGAAGAAGTTAGACTTATCCAGTCCTACCCCATGACATCATCTTACCATCATTGGTTTGCAAGCAGTATCTCTACATAAATAATTCTCTTCTACATCACACAAGTAGCAATAGTACATAGTGTTAACATTCATACACCACACCCACAATGTTCCACCTGATTAATCATTAAACCTGTTCTTGCATATATCTTGATTGACACATACCTTTATATTTATCAATAAACTCGTCAATTCTATTACTATTTTTTATGTCCACACTTAAATTATTCCATAGTTTTACCCCACTTATGGAAATACAAAATCTTTTTTTGGTTGTACGTATAGCATGAATTTTATAATTTAACTGACCCCTTAAATTGTATCCCCCTTCCCTTTCATTAAATAGTTTTTGAATTCCACCAGGTAATAAATTGTTCCTGGCTTTATACATAAACACAGCAGTCTTATATCCCACTAAATCAAAAAATTTTAACAATTTAGACTGTATGAAAGCTACATTGGTGTGATCCCTGTACCCCATCTTGTGCACAATTCTTATCGCTCTTTTTTGTAATATATACAATGGTTGAAGTGAGCTTTTGTATGTGTTTCCCAAGTTTTCAACACCATACTCTTAAATATGGTAGAATCAATGAAGAATACAAAATGCGTAGTGCTTTCACGTCCAAAATATATCTAACCCTTGCCAATATCGATATGTCTTTTGCTATTTTGTGCTGAATATATCTGATATGAGATTTCCAGAAGAATTTGTCATCAACTATGACACCTAGAAATATAATTTCATATACTCGTTCTATATTAGCTCCCCCAATTTTCAATTGAAGTTCATTATCTAGTCTACAATTCCCAAATACCATAAATTTAGTTTTATCCAAATTCAGAGATACTATATTACTGTCACACCATTTCTTTATCTTCTCAAGTTCCTGTGAAACCCATCCAGAGAGTTGCTGTAGGTTTTCACCCGATGCCCATATGGTAGTGTCATCAGCAAACAAAACCACTTTCACTAAATCAGAAACATTGCATATATCATTAATGTATAATATAAATAATTTAGGTCCCAAAACAGAACCCTGAGGCACTCCACACACAATGT